CCCCAAAACCCCAAAACCCCAAAACCCCATGACGATTAATTTAAAATGGAAAAATAAAATTAAGTAAAAATGAACTATAACAATATCAGTACTACAAATAGAGGGACTTTAAATAGATAATAAAGCACTGGGAGTAATAAAGCAGCAGCCCTTAGATAATCTCGAAGCAGAGGCAGACTACAACCATTAGCTTCACAGGTCTAAGAATAATTATTTTTTGCAAATGTACCAAAAGATATTAGGAATTATGTTAATAATCCTTCCTTACTTAGTTTATAAACTCTTAGAACATCAACTAACCAGTAAAAGACAAAACTAGTTAATGATAACTAAGCAACTGTACTCTAATTGTTCTAAAATTAGCATACTCGTGGTCTCTTTGATATGAAAGATCAAAATACGAGATCACATATAATGAATAATGTTCACATTTAGGCTATAGATGACCCTCTAGGTTTCCTCTTAGATGGTAAAAATTCAGTTAATACAAACAGATTTATGAGTCTTGATGATCCAACTCCAGTCAATCAGGATATTGAAACTGTAATTAATCCATGTCCATTTCACCCAATTAATTCGCTTGAAGATGACTAGGTTGAAGCCACACATATCTGTGTAGATGAAAAATTAGCCCTGTGTGATGAGTGTGCTATTATGCATGCAAAAAAGAAAAACCATTAAATCCTCAATATGTAGACTTGTGTTAACGAAACTAGAGTAGTCCTCAATAGTGTTGAATCTCAAATAAAAGAAATTATTAAGGATAAGTAATCAGCAGTTAGCAGAGGTAAGAATGTAGTTAAGATGCTAGATACTAAGAAGTAAAGATTCATTGAAAAGCAACAGTTGAAGCTTGAAAAGGTGATGAGACTCTTGAAGGAGCAGATGCAACTGAGTATCAAGGAATATGAAGAGCAAATCTTCAATAAATATGGAAAAGTAATAGAATAGATGAAGATGACTGAGTAAAATGCTGCAGAAAAGGAAGACTATTTAAAGGATGTTTAACATTTAAGAAAGGTGTTTGGTAAAAATATATACTCGCATTTACAATAATATTCTAGGTTAGAGATCAATCAATAACATTGTAACTAAAATATGTACAGCTGGAGATTTAATTATAAAGTTCAAGAGATATGCAGCAGCATAAAATGAAGATCCTGAGTTAGAGGAGGTTGAGAATCAGATTGCTAATGAGAGTCAGGTATTAGATATTGAAGTATCTCAAAAGTTTGGTAAAGTTGCATGCATCTAAAACTACTTATAGATAAAAAAATAGATGATATTGCTTTGACAAATCGAAATAAGGAAAGCAATAATAACAATATGAATACTATATCTACAAAGAAATCCAATAAATAAGAGGCCTAGATAAACCTGGAGTAAATTTAGAGAAAGAAAATAAGGATTGTAAGATGGAAGACTAAAAAAATTGGAGAGTATGAGCTGGATACTAAGATATGGACATTGACAGATGCCTAGGTATCATAGATATTCCTACCTTTTTCTAGAACAGTTTATCTTCCAAACTAAGATCTGGTTAACTTAGGAGGCCTCGATGATAGCATACCTTCGAAGCCATTTTTCACCTAGAATTGCGAGATGCTTTCTCAGGTAGCGTTCAACGAGGATGAAAATTTATATGTACCAACATCCTTGCATTAAATGAGAATCGGCAGAGGCTGTTTCTCAGCTTGCTATCATGATGAGATGATATATGTTTTTGGGGGAGTGAATTTAGAGGAAGGTGTTATAGCTAATTGTGAAAAGTATGATACAGAAAAGGACATTTGGTATGTGATCAGAAATCTCAACATTCCAAGGAAAAATTCCTCAGTGTGTCCCTTGACTGCTGATACACTGTATCTATTTGGAGGAACGAATCATCTCGGAGTAATGACAGACACCATTGAGCAATACCTGATATCAGCTAACATGTGGATTCTATTAGAGATTAAGATGCCAAACCCTATTTCATTTTTAACAACATTCAAAGTAAGTCCATTCTAAATCATACTGCTTGGCGGTTTAATTGAGAGTGACAGTGAGGATAGAGTCTCCTATCCTTCTAATCAAGTACTCTAGTTCGATATCAGATATCCAGAAATATTTAGAAGTGAGAATCTCTTCAAAGATTTTGTTAGCATATACCCTGCTTTCTACGATGAAGATGGACAACTGCTATTGATTAATGAAGATGGTAGAAGTGATAGCCCTGAAGTATTGAAATACGACATTAACAGATATCTCGTGAGACCTTCTAATTATTTGACCTTAAATGATGATATTTGAGTCAATAATAAATATTCAAGGCAAGCTACTATATTGATTTATCAAGACTATTTAATTTGCTTAATTTCTTAAAGTGTAATTTTAATTTTAAAAGTCAAAATGGATCCTAACAAAATGACTACTTTTATGGGTTATGACATGAGCGAGCGCACAAGGTCTATGTTTGTAGACATCTTAGTAGCGTGTCTCGTTATTTTCTTTATACTCATGCCATCTTACTGTTTCAAAGTAGAAGGGAGACTGCTCAGAAGGAAAGATAGCTGAGACTACTCTGATCATTCAAAATTCATTAGAGGTATTTGATTTTAGGAAAAGTTAATTTAATGTTTAATTTCTAGAAATAGTTTTCATTACATCCATCCCAGATACTACACCAGGGGTTTTGGGGTTTTGGGGTTTTGGGG